AGTTAAAAGATGTAAAAATTTTTTAAACGAATTTATTAGCTTAGTGACTTCTGTAAAATTACAGGTCCTTTAATGGTCAAAATCCAACTAATTCAGAAAACTGCAAGTGTACATAAATAGGTGATGCAATTTATAAAAAAAAAAAATTGTATCATTTTGATAGTTGAGTTGAGACAAGAAATGACGTCATAGCACTCGGGGCATCCCCATTTACGCTCCGTCCCCATCGTCAGCAGCCAGTGCAGAGTTCCATACTAATGGTACCAGTTGCAGTCTGGTTATATGTTCATCTTGCCTTTCCTCTGCGTGTAGGGAGCTGTCAAGACTCTCTGGTTACACCCAGGTGCATCATTCTCTCCAGGCTATGATAATCAAGTTTCTTGTTTCTAACTTAATTTTCCATGATAGTAAGAAGATGTATTTTCTAGTTAACAAATTAAGTAAATAGTTTCTAGTTAACAAATTCAATAAAATGCATTCACAGATTATGTTCTATAGGTTAAACTTAATGAATATGCCAGATTGGGTTCCCACTAGCTAGCTGAGCACATACTTCTCTTCATTGTTTGCTTCTGACATAACTAACTGATCAAATAGTTTAAATTAGTGTTTGCTTCTGACATAACTAACTGATCAAATAGTTTAAATTAATGTTTGCTTCTGACTTAACTAACTGATCAAATAGTTTAAATTAGTGTTTGCTTCTGACATAACTAACTGATCAAATAGTTTAAATTAGTGTTTGCTTCTGACATAACTAACTGATCAAATAGTTTAAATTAATGTTTGCTTCTGACTTAACTAACTGATCAAATAGTTTAAATTAGTGTTTGCTTCTGACATAACTAACTGATCAAATAGTTTAAATTAGTGTTTGCTTCTGACATAACTAACTGATCAAATAGTTTAAATTAGTGTTTGCTTCTGACATAACTAACTGATCAAATAGTTTAAATTAGTGTTTGCTTCTGACATAACTAACTGATCAAATAGTTTAAATTAGTGTTTGCTTCTGACATAACTAACTGATCAAATAGTTTAAATTAGTGTTTGCTTCTGACTTAACTAACTGATCAAATAGTTTAAATTAGTGTTTGCTTCTGACATAACTAACTGATCAAATAGTTTAAATTAGTGTTTGCTTCTGACTTAACTAACTGATCAAATAGTTTACATTAGTGTTTGCTTCTGACTTAACTAACTGATCAAATAGTTTAAATTAGTGTTTGCTTCTGACATAGCTAACTGATCAAATAGTTTAAATTAGTGTTTGCTTCTGACATAACTAACTGATCAAATAGTTTAAATTAGTGTTTGCTTCTGACATAACTAACTGATCAAATATTTTAAATTAGTGTTTGCTTCTGACTTAACTAACTGATCAAATAGTTTAAATTAGTGTTTGCTTCTGCTATATTTCTGACAGTTTCTTTCTGATTTTTATAATTATTACCACACAGTTTATAAAATATTTTATTTTCAGAGTCTTTATCAGAGAGCAAGAGAATTCTTGTTTGAAGCAAATATGGCTGCAGAGGTAAGTTTTACTTCCACAACATTTGCCAGAAATTAATTTTATTAAGGTGTTCTGTAAATGTTGGTAAATCCTAGAAAAATATAATGGTAAAGATTCAGTTTAGGACTTTTACTTTATAAATTATTCAAGACATAGAGAAATAAAGGTGGCTTTATTATTAAGGCCTATGCTTACACTGGCAGTGCTCCATGTTCACTTTCAAGCAGTGGCATGATTCTTTCCTAAATCTGCTTGTTCTTGGGTGAAACTAGTCTTCTGACATCACCATCAGTAAAGCCCGTGCCAGTAAATGTATACAGTCAGTGTTCATCATCTCACATGAACCAAAAGAATCATGAATCAGTCCTGTGTTCTGATCCCAATGATCTTACCATCCAAGTATTTATCTCTTTTTTTTTTCTGCACACACACACACACACACACACATGCACACATGCACATACCACCCTCACTTCCTGTTTTTCTCCCCCTATCATGTATGTCAGTGGTCATTATGTTTTCAAATTAATTAATCTCTTTAACTTGCAACACCAAAAAAATCTAACTAAATTTCAGGATCCTCACGGGTGCAATAAAGTTTGTGAACTGTGCTGAGATTCTACAAACTCAGGCTTGAGTTAGAAGTAGAACGGAGCACTTATGGGTACACCCATGTGCCATGATGTGGAGCCATCGAATTAACATAAACGTCTGATATTTATGAACTATATATAATAAGTTCTGAACAAAAGAGGGGTCAGCAGGAACCACTGATCTAAAGGTTAAATGGGAGGGCAAGCTTGCAAGAAATAGATAAAAATAAATGCAGAAATTGAACTTTTAATTTGAATGAACTGTTAGCAAATTATTGTCCCTATCCAATTTATTCAACAGGCTTTCAGTGACCAGACATTGCAGAGCAAAATAATGTTGCTGTTTGCCAGACTGGCTTACTATGAGGCACAGTATGACCTAGCTATCAATTTATGCCTCAAAGTACAGGTATTTCATTGTTGAATGCTGGTTCATCATTGCTGCTAATGTTATTATTATAATTTCAAAGATGCTTTTAATCAACATTTGCAGCTATTGCAAGTGACGTTACTATATTTAAAATAATGTAGTTCAGAGATTATTACCACATTCATCTCTGGCTTGAGCGGATCTAATTTGATTCGGGGTATGTACTGTGTGGATTTTTACAATTGTAAGATTGATGGTAAACCTTTCCTGATTATGGGGTTGTAGACTATGTCTACTCTTTTCAGATAATGTAGAAAAGCTAGAAGGACCTGTGGGTATGTTCTGCATACTAATTATACTGGTTTATTACACATATCTTTATATTGTAGTAGAAAAGATATACACCCGAACGAAAAGTATATTAGCAAGCTTCACAATATAACAAATACAAACAAAATGTGAACGTTGTGGCTATTGAGCCTTCATCAGCACACACAAAATAAACAATACTACATAGATAAAAAAAAAATCACTTAGCTGGTATCACGATGCGGCCAGGTCAGTTGTTACTCAGCAGAATGACCACACGTGTCGGTTGGGGGAATAAATACCCCCCTGTGGAGTATCAGGGGCCATAACTGGGGTGTAGGAGTTGAAACTGTGAGGGCAGTTCAATCCCCTGGAAGTTTAAATGAAACTGTGTTGGCAATTCATTCCAGAGGGCGTCAAAGTCCCCAGAGTATAAATAAAGCTATTCTCAAGAGACTTGCGGACTCTGTCGCTGGAATGGCTAGATTTAATGGCTGTCACCTCCATGTTGTGGACACCTTGGTGATCCTGGGAATTGAAGTGCAACAGTACTGGTTTCAGGGCACCATTTTGCACATCCAAAAGATGTTGTCTGAACCTGTCAGCCAGCCGTAGACCTGTTTCACCAATGTATTTTATGCTACATCTCTTGCAGTTGATGGCATAAATATATATATATATATATATATATATATATATATATATATATATATATATATATATATATATATATATATATATATATATATATATATATATATATATATAAATATATATATATATATTGTAGTAGAGGCTGACCTTAACATCTTCTAACCGTCTGTAATTCATCAAAGAGGATGTCCTTAGGGACTCAAGAATCTTCCATCTTTCAAGTGTTTCCTAGATCATTGAGAAAACTACCCGAATATATTTTATGTTATATTATGTTATTATGATCAGCATCACTGCACATTGGGCATTCCTATGCATGCTCAGTCTTCCAATGCAGTGGCCATCCAAACCTACCTCTGCTGACTGTTTTGATGAATTTATAATGACTGTATCTTGATCTTGATAGCAGCACAGACATATTTTGCTAGCTTTACTTGCAGGTCACATAGTAGAGTTAGCTTGAGGTGTATGTATATATGTGTACACATGTGTGTATGTGTATGAAGAGAATGGTAAACATTTGTGAACTATCTGTGTTAGAATATTTATAAATTATTGCTTGCATTTAAACAAATTGTATTGAGGAATAAGATGTCAGGCTAATGGATGGTTTATCTTTCGTTTTTGTTGTTTGATTTTGCCGTGCAGAAATTATTGCTTGGCCTGCTACGTGACAAACAAGAACTGAAAAAATAACAACATTCTGACAGTTAGGAAGGACATTTTTATAAAGGCCTACATATTTACTTTTCAGGAATTAAAACAAGGAGATGAACAGTTCTGGTATGACACCTGCATCTTGCATGCCAAGGCCATTATGAAAAAGGCAGAAGCCGAGTCTTGTAAGAAAGTAGGTTCAACAACTTTAATAGCATTTATAAAAGAAGCAATAATGTTTAATTAGTATTATCAAATATATAGTATCATGAGTGTTTATATAGAAATATTAATGATTATAAAATGTCAGTAATGTATACACATTAAAATTAATGTGTAGGCATTATATTATCTACCACGTTAACTAAATATTTTAGTACAGTAAAACTTTGTTGTAATGTATACACATTAAAATTAATGTGGAGGCATTACATTATCTACCACGTTAACTAAATATTTTAGTACAGTAAAACCTTATTAACAGGAACTTGCTTGAGAAGAACACTTGGTTAACATAGACACAGTTTTGGTCCCAGCAGGGATGTATTGAACATCAAAATCTTTGGGAAATCATGAAGAATATGGGTTTTCTATCACATATATTACACCTCATAACAATGCTCTGTCTAGACCAACAAGCAACAGTTATAATAGATGGCGAGACTTCAGACTGGTTTCACATCAAGCAAGGGGGCTGTCGGCTGTCACCCTATTTGGTTAACCTGTACACTGAAAATATATTGAGAAATGTCAGATATCAAAGATTCCACAATCAAAGGATAGTGTCATTCATACATCATGTATTGTCGGAACTGAATGCCACCAGCTAATTAAAAAAAAATATAATTTACACCTTAAATGATTAATCCTTGATTTATTATTTTACTTTACTGTTGTTCAGGCCAAGAAACTTCTGGAAGCGGCAGTCAGAGAGTTCACTCATGTTGGAGATGCTTATCCAAATAAAAAATCTGTGGCTAAATATTACTGCACAAAACTGGAAGCCCAGTAAGTGACGGTTTGAAACTAAGGCAGCCAAAATTAGAAAAACAAACCTAGAATTAATCATGTTAATAATTTGAAATCTGTCACTATAAGTCAGAATGATCAGATCTGTTTTCTTCATTATCCAGAGCCATCTACAGAATGAAAGCTAGTGGTAATGTTAAAAAAAAAAAAAGGTAAACAACGCTGTTCATGCCATTAGTACAACAGGCATATGATGATAGACTCAAATTTGTATAGACCAATTAAGACTTGATGGGTATAATAATCAACATTATACCAGCAGTCTTTACTTCTCAGAACATTTCCTTTAACCAAGTGCAGGCTGGGTCAGCGTGGGAACTAAGGACGATTATTAGATTTGCCATGCTGTGGAATTGAACCTAAGACTTTAGGACTGGCAGGCAAACATTTATCCATTGTGATGCTGAGCTCTGATCTGCTCTGCCCCAGTGTGCTTCAAGATTTGAATTGATTGTACCATACTTAATTTGTATCATCATCTGTAGTCTGGTAAATCTTCCATTTGGTCTTCACTTTGGTATCAAGATTTCATCAAAATTGTATGCAGACCACCGCTGAGACTATTTCACAGATAATAACCTTATGGGCATTCACTACACTAAAGGAGGAGTGGCTAGCTAAGCGGTTACAACTTTGGGCTGTCATGTGAGAGACCTGGGTTCGCCCCCCCCCCCCCCCCCCCCCGGTAAGGTAATAGAGTTTTTCTGTTGGGGGCAAAATGAAACATCCTCACATGTTCAGTCCATCCTGACAGCACTAGCCATGCGGCCATAAATCCTCAGACTCACGATCAACTAATAATTAGTATACCCTGAAAAAAAAAAGGAAGAAACACAAATCATTACTTTTTTTATGAGCTAGTCAACAAGCATCATTACAGTACATGACTTAACCACCTCACTATTCAAAATAAGCGCACCTGGGTTTTTCGCACGGATTGTCCCTATAATGGTTAAGTGTGATGTTTTGCCAAGTTCGTGCCAATCAATTTACTGTAAGCCTGCTAATTATATTTTTTGAATTTGTGCCTGTTTTTTTTTTAAAATCATGTACCCTAAATAAGACCAAATAAAGAATTAAATGTTTGTTTACATTATAATTATTTTCTCACAAGGACAATTAACTGATTGCATGTCAAATGCCAACAGTTTACACTAAATAATGACATGCCAAATGTCAACAGTTTACACCAAACAGTTACTGAGTCGAAAATTTTTTAAGTTGTCCACAATTTTTGGAAGGCACTATAGAAGCTGGTATAGCCATAACAGACCACTAATTATAACTGCTTTAGAGGTTAAATGGGGTATCTGGGATTTGCCTTGTTGGTTTGCCATAAAAAAAGAGTTAAATACATATCCATTACAAGACATTGCAGAACCAACCTCAACATTTTTTAGCTGTTTGCAATTTAACTAGACAACTTAGCATTGAGTAGATTCCCACTGCTTTCTGAACAGTCTGCACTTGGTACTACTTTTTGAAATCCATGCAAAGCGGTTTGCTGCCAGATGACAGCTGGAATTGATCTGGGTATTTCAGAACTACAAAATGCGTTTGCAATGAATAAGCCACAGATAAAGACAGTTTACTATACAGGATTAGATTCTTATAATCTCAGTGGTGTTCAAACTGTCAGGTAGCTGCCTAGAGGAGGGAAAAAAACACAGACAATGTACAGTTGATGTAACACTGCTTGGCATAAGTTTAAAAGATAAGAGCCAAAGTGCGGCTCAAAATCTGTTACTGAAAGCAATTACAACAATAATGTTCAAAGCCAAAGTGCAGCTGGATCTGTATCCATAAGAACAATAACAACAGTAATGTGCGGCTGCTACAGAGGTGGAAGTCCAACAGTTGATTCATTCAGGACAGTTCTCACTCAGATGATCTGATTATCTACACAGATGGTTCTGTATTGAGAGGGAAGAGAAGTGCCTGGGGGTTTGTAGTGAAAGCCAGTGGAAAATCTTTAGTGCAGGACAGCCTAGCATACGACATCACAACATGTAGCATGAGAATGGAGGTAAAGGTGGTCACTGCAGCTTTCTCGTGGCTAGAGAATACGATGAATACACATATCGTAATTGTAACAGACTCTGAGACATGCTGAGAAAGGTGAAAACAGGGATGCTTCAAGCAGAGTGGCAAGCTTCAATGGAAAGGTCACGGGTATTGAGCATACTTTAGATGTTTTTTTCAGGCCATGCTGACATGGTGGGAAATGAAAAAGAAGACATATTGGCTGAATCTACACCACTGGATGGTGAATTGATACATGACAAGGCACATATGGTCAAGGCCCTTTGGGAATATGTAGCGAAGTCAGAAGAGAAACAAGATTATTATGGTCTAGAGAGAACGATGCACCTGGGTGTAACTAGAAGGTCTGGTCGGCTTACTACACTCAGAAGAAAGGCAAGATGGACTTTTGCCAGATTGTGACCGGTACCATCAGCATTGAAACTCTGTGCTGGCTGCTGAAGAGGAGGACGGAGCATGTATGGGAATGCCCCGAGTGATGTGATGTCAGATCTTGACTCAACTCAACAATAATGTTGAAAACACCAAACTGTACGTGAAACTTTCTCCAGAAGAACATCTAGGCAGAAGGCAAGAGAAAGACTGTGGAAGCGATGGATAAACAGTGTAGATGAATCTTGCAAAATGAAGAACAGATCCATCAGCCAAGCCACTCCAGAAGTGCAAGAAAACTATGGCACTTTGTTACAGCATGTTGAACAGTGTGATGACAGAAGAAGAAGAAGCAGAAAAATTATGTTGAGCAAGAATGTTGTAAAAGGTGAATAATTATTGGTTTGCAGAAAATAATATGTTTAGCCAAAAGATGCAGATATTGCAATCTGGCTGTAGACCACAATACAATAAGCCAACCACCCTTTTAAGGGTAAACATAAATTTTGAATGCTGAATAAGGAATTGACATCATAACACTTGGGACGCTTCCATAAGCTCTCTGTCCCCATCTTCAGCAGCAAGCGAAGTGTTCCAGTTCTGATGGCACCAGTAACTGTCCAACTGTAAATCTGTCTTGCCTTTCCCTTAAGTGTTGAGCATCGGCTAGACCTCCTGGACCTAAGAGTAAACAAAAAAGAAGAACAACAAGAATCATCATCATCATCATGTAGCAGGGTGTTTACAGAACATCGCTCCCATCACATCCTGCCTCTGAGAAACACAGCACTTCACCAGCATTCAGTAAAGTAAAGGACCCTTTTCCACGCCTTCAGGCATATTGGGCATATAGGGCTAGACCTACATTTTTTTAGACCACTCGGCACTCTGTGGGTGATGTGGTCAACATCCCGCCAGCTGCCTTTACTTCCGTGCACCTAGTACCCATTCAAGGTGGGGACAGCCGGGAGCAAGGCCATTTTTTTAAGAAAACCTGATTCGGTCAAGACCTGAACCCATTACCTTCCGATCCGCAGGCGAGCATCTAGCTGCTACACCACTATGACTCTCTTCGCCAGCATTATTCAGTTCCAAAATGAAATTTATTTTCAGGATTGTAAAAGTTCACTTTAACAGCATTTTTCAAAAGAGCCAAGATTCCAACAATCCCCAAGTTCTTTCAGCAATTCTCAAAGGATGTGAGGTACATGTAGTTCCTAATATTGTTATTTATCTGGCTTTGCTAGTTATTTCACATTGCTTAGCTTTTCTTGCATAGCAAATTGAATTATATTATGTACTAATTGTAATGGACACATATTTCCACAGGTATGCACAGATTTTTGTCCTTGAGCAAATGTGCTCATTTATGTGAGTGTTCTCAGGGGGGTGAATGTGCAGGGGTAAGAGTATGCAGGTATGTAAGTTTGCAGGGGTACGGGTACAACTGCTCAGAAGAGCAAGAGTGCAGGGGTTCCAGAGCACAGGGGTGCAAGTGCACAAGACTGTAAGTGCAGGAGTGCACAGGGGTATTTGTGCACAGAGTTGCAGGTACACCATGAGTTTGCAGGGGTGCATATGTGCAGGGAGTGAGTGCACAGGCATGCAGGGGTAAGCAAGTGTGCATGCTGGCATGCAGAGATGCAGTTATGCACATGCATCGGTGTCCAAGTGAATATTTTATAATATTATAATATCTTCTTCTTATTCTTCTTTGTGCACTGGCTGTAAGCTCTGGTGGAAAGTTATTGTTGATAATCCATTTGGACTTTGGCTTTGTGCCAGGGCCTAAGTTTTAAGTTTACATCCCTTTAACTGGCTTATTTGTGTGCAGTTGGTTGTTCCACGCGAGCCAGTACTCTGCAACTTCAAAGGAAGTTCCCCAATTAGTTGACTCCTACTACATGCTTGTTGGAGAAGCAGTGGGTCTGTTCTTGTTTTCCCCACAGTGGGGCCCCAGAACCCACACAGGGAATGTTACAGTATGTGAGTAAATGTAAATGAACAAGTTGAGAACCGCACCATGTGGCCAGAAATAACTATCTCTGTATCTGTAACATGTAGCCAGAAATAACTATCTCTGTATTCTAATGTCAACAGTATTATGAGCACCTCTGTGGACAGTTTATGGAACTGCATTGCTATCAGGATGCTGTCACTATTGCCAGAAAGCATGCTAGTATTCTGAGAATGCTGGCTAAAGAATCTGTGGAGAAAGATTCAAGCCGCATGTATTACTTTCAGGTAATTTCGAACATATTCGATGTGTTTATTTTCATCTCCTTTAAAAATTAATCATTAATGTTACAACTAAAAAAAAAAAAAGGTTACCACATCAATGACCTTAGAGGAAAAAGAGCCCTATCTGTTTAGTTTTGAACTGGACATTCTTAAATCAGCCATCATGTAAAACATATCGATCCACTACCAACTTTTGTGGAGACATTGTTTTAAGTA